ATTCTACATCTCCCCGCTAGGGGTTGCTCGCGGACTGAACGCGGCAGAGTGTGCGAGCGAGAAGGAAAATGAGTTTCGTTGTCGTCGCGGGAGGGGGACAGGGGAAGCAACTGAAAATTAATTTCTTCATTCTGGCTATAATTATGATCCGATCTGATTCAGATTCGGCAGTCGGATATGGGCATTCTCTACGATACTGCGTTTTTAGTTTTATCGTATCTTTAAAAATGTGCCTGCCACAGATTTTCGTCCTTTGTGGGGGCGGAAGGGGGCGGGGCGAAATTTTGAAATACACTTGTAGCAGTGTGATATCACATAAGTCTGGAAACCAAATTTGGTTGCCCTAGCTCTTATAGTCGTCTGGCCTCACGAGGCAGGCGGGGTTCGATTTGATGCTGATCAAGAATATATATACTTTATGGGGTCGGAAACGTTTCCTTCTCTGCGTTACACACATCCACTTTTACCACAAATCTAATATACCCCTTAACTCTTTTTTGAGTACGGGTATAAAAACGGCGGAAGCCGCAAGGCGCTGAGTGGAAAAGCCTGAGCGAACTCAGGGTGATCCCCTGCCTCCCCTTGCCCATTGGATGTCCGATGAGCAGTCTGGATCTGGGGCTGTTGCCTGTGTGTGACCTTGCAATCCCGGGTGAGCTTGCAGTGTTTAGGTACGCCTGCGCTAATTTGTGATGTTTTTCGAAGGTATCTTCCGTGATTTGGAACCGGATTTGCAGAGCAGCTTTGTGACGCGTCCGAACTCAAAAATATCGCGGTTACTCAGTGACACACATATGTATATTTACATGTATGAGTGAGAGACGTGTCGAAGCAACGTCTTCTCACCTTCTTTTTACTTTTTGTTTTCTTCTTTGCTTTCCATCTGCCTGCGAGCAGAACTTCTCATCAGTCACAAATAAACATTGTAAAAGGAACGAAAGCAACGGCCACCACTTTTCTGTTCAAATATAATTTCCACGGCATTGGTCAAACCAAAGACAATATAAGTATAAGATGCGTAACGCTCATACATTTCAATTGCCATATGCAAGACAATTTTTCGGCCAGCGACGAAATTCGCGCCATCTCGCTCGCACAAATTTGAGAGCGTACGAATCTAAAAATAGAATCCGCTTGCATGTGTAAGTACACACAGAACAGCAAGTGCGTATGTGTGCGTACACAGCAGGAAGAAAAAGTTCAATTTTGTCGAGTAGTGTTATCATTTCGGCGAGGAAATTGTTGCCATTTTAAAAACGTTGCGATTTACGAATTCGGCAGCACCTAACTTTTTGTTTTGAAATGTAAATCAGAAATTTTTTGCGAAAGTGAAAATTGGAGACTTCCGAATCAGCACTCCCCAACGCTAGCGATTATATAGCTCTGGTGGTTAGTTGATCTTATACATATTTACATATATATGTTTTAATTATGTTAGCAAGCAAGAAATGACAGCGCATAGTAATGATGATTAGGATGATTTACTAGCTGCTGACCTGAACAGTATTCTTTTTGCTATGAAAATATGAATTTAGTTAAATTCCTCACAGAACTCCTAGGAAAAAATTGCTTCGCTTCTGATCGTCGCAACCACTCAAAGAAAACGACAGAGTCAAGAGGCGTGTGAAATGATTTTGGTGCGTACTCAGAATAGTATACACACAAGCACACACACACATGTACGTAAGCAAAAATATACAAAAATCGAGCATCTATTGATATCTATCGTGGCTGATGGTTTTGTTTAAATTCGCTCCTACTAAAAATTTTTATTTTCTGTGTTTATTGGAAAGTAATTGTGTTTAATTGGTGTCTCCTGTGTTGTTAACTGACCGTTCAATCTGTCCACTATCTGTGCTCTATCTGCAAACGCGATTTTGAGTGTACATTTCGTAAACAAAGTCAATTTGTGCTTTCTCTCTACCTCTGTGCTTTCGTATTCACAACTCTGTTGTTGTTGACCCAGTCCTTGTACGTCGCACTCTCTCTGAGCCACACTCAATTTGCATGTTTGCATCGCTTTTCAAACTTTGCCTCTCCTCAAACATTCTTACATTAACGCTCTGCATTTGCTGCTTCTCTGTACCTGATTTACGCTCTGTTCTTTACCTCGTCTCTCAGTGCCTTTTCCATTATGAGTACATGCTGTGCTAAAAGTAGCCGCTCTGCAGCTCACCGGCAAGTGTTCAAATACTGCTGGCTATGTGACAACATGGCACATACTATGTGCGCTGACTTCGGTCCTACTGGACGCGTAGTCGACTTGATAAAGTTTCGTTGTGGCCTCAACTGGACTTGTTGCGACTGCAGGCCGATTGAAGGCGACATGTGGGTCTTCAACGGCCGTCATCTCTATGGAGTCTCACTTTAAGAATTTACAAATTTTAACTGAGTCGCCGAAGAGAAAGAAGGGTAATAACTATCTGCCCTCTTGTAATAATAATGTCTATCTTTCAGTTCCTAGGGCACACTCACTCCCAGTGACTGACGCACTTACTTCATCACCTACCGCCTCCCCGGTGCCCGGATCTGACTGCGATGTCAGACGAGAAGTCTACGATCCCGTCGGCTGCGCTTCTGGACCCGCACTCGAAGCCGCCGACGCTGCTGTTAGAATGGAAGTTCCGTTTAACACGGCTTCCATCGTTATCACTGAAAATGGCTCTTTGTTTTCGAATTCAGCTCCTAGGATTGAATCTCCTTAGCCATTGACGCCTAATGATCCTATTACCCCTTTAGCTACTCTAACTGCTGTCGCTCCACTAAAATCTATTTTCGTCTCTCGACTCATGACATCGGCCACGGAAGTTCTGGTTAGAAACTTTATCTATTCTAAACTTAATATTGATAATTCCTCTGGTCTGGTAGTTACTAAATTTAATTTTAAAGTCATACGTAACATTTCCTCCTTCAAAATTCTGTTTCCAGATAAACATGTCAATAGTATGCTCGAGCCCTCGAGCTTTTAATCGCTCATATAACCCTAACCCGCTACAGCTTCGTCCGTCCAACACCATCCCTGGTCACATTACCTTCACCATCAAAAAACTAAATACTCCCCTGGCTCTAAAGATATCATATCAGAATACTAATGGCTTGTGTAGCAAGCTGAACAATTTGTATATTGACTGTGCTTCTTTCGAGTCGGATGTGATCGCTTTTTCTGAAACCTGGCTCCTCAATTTATAATTCCGAGATTAAAATTTACAAATTTAATATATATAGGTTGGATCGTCCAACTCGTGGTGGGGGGTGTCCTGATTGCCGTTCGCTCGGACATAGCGTCTCAACTCTTTTTCGTCGAAGGGGAAAACAACATTGAAATAATTGTAGTTAAAATTCGCATGACCTCTTTCAATCTTTTTATATCCTGCTCTTACATGCTTCACGTCTCACATCTTCAGTCTGTTTCGTCCCAACTTAATGATTCCGATCGTCTTATCGTCCTAGGGGATTTCAACCTACGAAATATTTCCTGATTTTATAGACTCTTTGTCCGATACATCGTTGGGTCAAGTAAACGCTATACGAAATAATATGGGCAGGCTTTTAGACCTCGTTTTTACCACCGAAACATCGAGTACTCTGGTCTGCAGTGGATCTCCTCTATCTTTCCCTGAGAACCCTTACACTTCATATTTTCGTTCAGTTGGCTTCCTCTGGTCCCATCTAATCACTCTTTAAGCCCTCTACTATCTTCTGTTTCAGGAACGCCGATTTTATCAGTTTGAATATTGCTCTTTCTCAGATTTACTGGTCATTCCCTGACGACTTTCAGGAAATTGAACCTGCTACTAAAACATTCTATACAACTACTTTCTCCATCTTCAATTCATTAGTTCCTTTATTTTCACCTTCCAGAAATCCAACTGGACATATTTGGTTTACTTCACGATCAATAAACCTACGGAATATAAAATCTCGTCTGTTCAAGAAGTTTAAACGGTCTGGGTCGTAATCGGATTTTTCTAAGTATTCCATTGCAAAATCTAAATTTTCTCTATTTAATACATCGTGCTACATATAATAATTACTTGTCTAAATGTAAGCTCAACTTTAAACGCGATCCTAATCAATTTTTTAGGTTTGTCAACTCTAAACGTAGCTCCTCCCTACTTCCTTCTTCTGTTTAACTTGTCTCTCGAGCTAGGTGATTTTCCCTCCGTCTGGAAGGAATCGAATATCGTTCCCATCCATAAAAAGTGGTATAAATCTGATGTTTCCAATTACCGGGCAATTTCGAACCTATCTGCTATTCCTAACTCTTTGAAAAATGATAACATCCCAGCTCCTTGTTTTCTGGTTCTCAGAACGGATTTTTGAAACTTTTTCGTTTTCTCAAAACGTTGCAAAATTAATAACTTTTGAACCCGGCTAGATAAAAGTCTGAAATTTAATATATATATTTTCAATACCTAAAATAAATTTTAAAAAGAAAAATTAAAGTGGGCGTGTCACTGAAAGGCGTAATCTACGGTCAAACTCAAACTTTCCTTTTTTACCCTAAAAACCATCATACAAAATATAAATAAAATTGAACAATAGGCAAATAGATTTTTTTACAACAAATTTTAATCTATACTATAAATTTGTAGAAATCTGTGTGTAAGCGGCTATCTCCGCAACGCGTGCACCAAATTGCATGCTGTTTTTTTTAAATGATAGCCAGAGAATGTAACCTGGTTTGCACAAAAAAATTTGTACTTTTCTATAAATAGGTTCCTCAAGAATTAAAAATGAATCAAAAAAATCTTAAATTTCGTCCAAAATTGTGTTTTTGAACGCCTATTTCATTTCATTTCTCTGCAACGCGTGCACCAAACTGCATGCGGTTTTTTTTTTAAATGATAGCCAGAGTATGCGGCATTCTTTCTTTACAAAAGTTTAATCAAAAAAAATCTCAAATTTGGTCTAAAAATGTGTGTTTGAACGCCTACTTCATTTCATTTTGTGTCATTCTGTGGAACAAATTTGGTCTAAAAATGTGTGTTTGAACGCCTATTTCATTTCATTTTGTGTCATTCTGTAGAAAAGAACATTTGATGATAGATTTTGTGTTTTATAAATTATTGTGTGAAAATTTGTTTTCTGAAAAAATTGCAATTTGTGTAAGTATATTTGTTGCTTTTGAAAATGTGTGCGTTTTAAACCAACCTGTGTGATTTTTAAAGTTAAATGTCGAGACGATTAAATTTGGGTCGGCGAACGCGAAAATCATTTCAAGTTGTGGCTTCAAGGAGCCGTGAAAGTAGCCAAGACATTCCACATCGCAATGAAAATAGTCGTCTACGCACAGCAAGGTCCCGTTCAAATCAACGGAACAATGATGCAACAACAACTGCAAATGAACGTCTTGATATTCAAAATATACAAAGTGTTGCGTTCGCGTACAGTAGTGTCACCGATTACGCTACTCATAGGCAAATTATTATTGGTCCAATGAACGACCGTTGTCGCCATTGTCAGGCCTTTAAAATTTAAAGGTGAAGCAGATGGGATATGCTGTGCGAGTGGTAAAGTGAAATTGCCTGAATTAGGCAGCTCACCACAACCATTGAGCACATTACATAATGGATTGACACCTGAGTCTAATCATTTTTTGAACAATATACGAGTGTATAATTCGAGTTTTGAAATGACATCTTTTGGCGCCAAAAATATTATAAGAGACAACTTTATGCCAACGTTCAATGTAATTAAATATTTTTGTTTATGCAAATTGTACGTTTGTTCTCATTCTATCATATATTTTATTAAGATTCAAGGTCAAATATACCATCGAGCTGGCTCTTTGTTACCTTTCGACAACGCAGACCACCAATTTTTGCAATTATATTTTATCGGGAACGCGGAAGGCGAAGCTGATCGTCGGTGTGCCATTATTACTAACATGCGGAGACACATTATTTTCGATTTGCAAAATATGTTCCATGAGCACAACGAATTGGTTCAGGTTTTCAAAACATCGCTTGATCGAATGCCATCTGACGATCATAAAATTGTTATCGAGCTGATAAAACACCGGTTGGCGAACATGCAAGGCGTTTCAATGCACAAACAGTTGACGAAGTGGCAATAGTCATTGTTGGTGAGCAATTTAATAATCGTGATATTGTGCTTCATCGTAGAAATGAACAACTTGAACGTGTATCCGAGACTCATCGCTGTTATGATGCACTACAATATCCCATATTGTTTTGGAGCGGACAAGATGGCTATAATTTCAACATTAAAACGATAAATCCAGTAAACGGTCGAGAAGGAACAAAGAAAGTTAGTGCTATGAATTATTACGCATACAGGCTGCAGATACAGCAAAATCAAGACAACCACATATTGAGGTGTAGAGCACTTTTCCACCAGTATATTGTTGACATGTATGCAAAAATTGAATCGGAACGGTTAAATTTTCTTCGATTCAACCAAGCCAAATTACGTTCCGAAGAGTATGTTCATTTGCGTGATGCCATTAATATGCCATTATTACCGTCATCGTATGTTGAAAGTCCACGTCATATGTTTGAGTACGCGCAAGATGCGATGTCATACGTTCGCCGTTACGGTCGACCAGACCTCTTCATCACCTTCACGTGTAATCCGCAATGGGAAGAAATCTCGGAATTATTGTTTGTTGGCCAAACATCGAAAGATAGCCATGATATTTTAGCACGTGTTTTTAGACAAAAATTGAAATCACTCATGGATTTAATTGTCAAACACGGTGCATTTGGGTCTGTTCAATGTTGGATGTATTCAATTGAATGGCAGAAATGAGGTTTGCCTCATGCGCATATTTTAATTTGGCTCATTGAAAAAATAAGGCTGAATCAAATTGACGATGTGATTTCGGCAGAAATTCCAGATCCGACAGTGGATCCTGAATTGTTTGAAGTGGTCACCAAAAATATGATTCACGGTCCATGTGGTGCGTTGAATTTGAATTCACCCTGTATGGTTGAAGGGAAATGCTCCAAACGTTTTCTTGGCATGCATTTTTAGTTTTAGATAGACGCATTAATTAGGCGTCCTTTAAGGCAAGAAAAAAATACCAGATTTAAAAAAAAAATTAAGTACTAAAAAAATTTTTAAGTCTCGAAATCTATCAGAAAATGTCATTTTGGTGCACAGCCTAAAGAAAAAGTTCAATTTCGTTGAGTAGTTTAATCATTGTTTAATTTCGATTAATTCCTAAACATTAAATGCATTTTGTAAGCAGAGAAGCGCGCGGGTCTGCTAGTTTTTTATAAATTTGTACAGGTTAAATTATTTAAAAAAAATTATTTTCCACTTTCTGAGCTGATGGTCCAAACAACGAAAAACATTGAACAATTAAACGTAAAATAACACATGTCAACACGAGTTTTCCTCAAGGAACAAAACCAACTTTTTTTTTAAAGATTGGGGGCTTAGAAATGGTTTGATGATATTTTTTTTTCTATGGCAGAACTTTGTTTTGAAGAATTTTTGAAAGCTGATATATTTTTTTAAAGTTTTTTTCAGAGGTAGCGCTTTGTTTTTCACATAACTCTAGTATCTTACGTCTGATTGTAAGGAATTTTGCATTTTTCAAAATATATTTAAAACAACTAGAAGTTAAGCCCAAGCACTTTGTAATTTAAGCTTACCGTCTGGGAAATATAAAGCATTGAAATACAAAAATGATGATTTTTATGTGCGGTACTTTTAACGAAATTTTTACTTTAAATCTCAGGAAAAGTCGAAAAATTGGGAATTGGGATCGCGATCAGGTGCCAAATGTACAACCCTTTCTCGTTTGCTTTGTTCCCAATTTGCAGTTGGGCCCGCAACCTTCCAAAAGGTATTTTTTGTTCATTTTTTTAGTTTTGTTAACGAATTTTATCTCCAAAATTTTTCCATAGATTTGAATGAGCAGTACCAAACCATAATTCTTAAAAAAATTTAAAGTCCCAAGTCTATCAGAAAAAGTTGGTTTGGATCCTTAAGGAAAAAAAAAGTTCGATTTTGTCGAGTAATGTAATCACATTTTACCGTTTAGAACAGTGATGGGCATGAAAACTAACGGAAAGAGCCAGTCAGAAAAAACAAAGAAAACAACCCCCGTCGCGACGCTTCGCAGTCATGAGCTAGACAGAATGGGCGAGCAAAGTGAATACACTTTTTGTTGCTCTGATTTTCATGTGCGTAGCCCAAGACACATGATGTGTTGTTGCAATCTCGGGATCGCGCCTTCGAAGCATTTTTGCAGTCTCTTTGACGCCAAATTTCTGTGGCATTGTTTTTGTAAAAATTCACGGATCGCCGAACGCGACCAAGACCGTCTGAGTCGACTTGCTGGCGCCTCCCGAAAAACATTTTGGAAAGAGCCACGGGAGCTGAAAGAGCCACTGCGTGCCCATCTCTGGTTTAGAACATTGCACAGTGGCTCGTTTTCTCAAAACAAGTTGCAAAATTAATAACGTTTGAATAACGGCTAGGTAAAAGTCTGAAATATAATACATATATTTTCAGATTATGATCAAACTCGAACTTTCGTTTTTTTTACCCTAAAAATCATCATAAAAAATATAAATAGAACTGAAGAATAGGAAAAATAGATTTTTTTACAGCAAATCTTAATTTTTTATAAATTTTTAATAGTTAAATTATTGAAAAAATAAATTTAAAAAAAAAAGGAGAAGGAACGTGTGAGTCGCTTTTGGGGACGCTATTTTTTGAGCTTATGATTTTTTAAATTTAAAAAAAATTTTACTTTTTACATTTTATTGCTACTTCTGTTTTCTACAACTACAATGTTTATTCTACATCTAAAATGTAGATTATACATATACCATTTAGATTCTGCATCTACTCCGCTAAAGGGCGCTCGCGTACATAACGAGGCAGAGTGTGCGAGCGAGAAAGAGAATGAGTAGCTGGTCTTTTGCGGAAGAAGGCGGGGAAAGCAACTGAAAACTAATTTCTTCATTCTGACTATAATTACGATTCGATCTGATTCAGATTCGGCAATCTGGTAGATATGGTCATTTTCTACGATACTGCGTTTTTAGTTTAATCGTATTTTTAAAATTTTGCCTGCCACAGATTTTCGTCCTTTGTGGGGGCGGAAGGGGCGGGGCGATATTTTGAAATACACTTGTAGCAGTGTGATATCACATAAGTCTGGAAACAAAATTTGGTTGCTCTTGCTCTTATAGTCTCTGAGATCTAGGCGCTCATCGAGACGGACAAACGGACATGGCTATGTCGACTCGGCTATTGATGCTGATCAAGAATATATATACTTTATGGTGTCGGAAACATTTCCTTCTCTGCATTGCACACATCCACTTTTACCACAAATACAATATACCCCTTAACTCTTTTTTGAGAACGGGTATAATTGTTTGTTTTGCACTTTCTGAGCTGATAGCACGCAAAGTTAACGCCCAAACAAGCACAAGTACCTTGAAGAATTAAATGTAAAAAAATGGTAGTGTCATGCTGGCGATTTTTAAAGTTGGAAGCGTTTTTAAAAACTGTGAAAAAAGCTATCCCAGCAAATAGCACCTTGGCATATCTTGGCATAAATTCAAAAAGTTACCAGAAAAAAAATCTTATTTTAATGGTACATTTTCATAGTCCATGCCTTGGCTAGAAAAAATGCATATATATATTTTTGATTTTAATGCTGCACAGACATTTTTGCAGCCCTTCAAAATCAGATGTTCGGTTAATTACGAGTTGGTGTACGAAGAGCGGGAATCCTTTTCTTGACTTTGTGAGCTTGTAAGTTTTGTAAAGTTTAAGAAAAAATGTTTGTAAAATATGGAGCAGAAAGTCCGAAGTATGTAGAATTTGTATACTATATATTTATTGATTTATATATATTGGGTTAATATTTTCCTGGGTTGGATCTGCCATTTTAACTAGGGGTTTACGTCAATAGAGAAATACTCCGCTTGGCTTGGGGTGTGGGCAAACTCTCTAACGAAACAACTTGCTCGGTATTGCAAACCAGAGCTCCGAGACAATTATTACTCGTTACGCAATTTCCCAAGGAGATGAAACATACGACAAAGAGCGAAGTACAAAGGAAACAGTGATAATACACTGAGAACAATCAAAAGGGGGATTCCGACAGACCAAAATACACTGGGAATATTATTATGATCCGACATATATTTATATTTTTATATAAAAAAAAACATTTTTTTCATATGTGTTAGTTTGTAACCTATCTTTGGTGGCTAACAACTAATCACGAGACAACTATAACCGAAATCTAACAATGCCAGATTAAAGTAGAAAGTTTATATGTACTAATGTCTATTAAATTATTTGCCACCGTTTGCGACCTTAATACTTTTACGGGTATTTTCATCTTGTAGGTTAGGTTTAACTTTTTTATGAAACGCTACCACTAACCATACAGTATAAGTCGACTTAAAGGTCAGATTAACTTTTGCCCCATTATATGACCACCACCTCCTCGTGGTGTTCCCTGCGTTCCTATTTTAAATCTCAAAAATGATCGGCGACTTTATGTACATCTATACCTATTGGCAAACATATGTATATAATGAAGGTATACTGAATATAGAATATGTAAATATATGCGTCAATTCTATGCACATGTAAGGTAACCCATATACATATATGCATATACATATTTATATACATACATATATACAATTATTTTAGTTCAAATCATTTGTTTTATATGTATCAAACAATCAATTTATATGATAAATAATGGATTTAAGGTAAAAAATCTACACATGTATACGTATATACATATACCAATTCTTTGCATATATGTCTAAATATATATAAAAAGAAATAAATATATATAGAAAAGTTCTCTGAAAAACGGAATTTATTAACAAAGTTGAAAAATCGAAAGTCGACGGCATTTCCACAATATTCATGTACGTACACATTTAATTTAGTATATACATGTCTAAAATAGGGATATGTATATGTAAGTGTGCTATTTCAAATAAACAAAATAAATAATATCGTTTATTTTTATATTTTATTTATTTCCCACGCCCACCCCACACTCTGCCCATTCCTCGTTTATGTTGCGGCAGGTCAGCTCAGGTCGCTACATCAGCCCTGAAAACAAAACGAAAAACGAATTTCGGGTCAAGCGGCAAAAAATGCGGAAAAATATGAAAAATGCATTTTTAGTGGCTATTATCTAAACTAATGATATAACACTACTCGACAAAATCGGATTTTTTTTTCCTAAAGGATCCAAATTTTTTAAAGAGTTATGGTTTTTTCTATTGCAGAACTTTTTTTTAAAGAATTTTGGAAGCCTGGTATTTTTTTTCAAAGTTTTTTCAGAGGAATCGCCATATTTTTTCACATTACCCTAGTATTTTACGTCTGGTTTTAAAGATAAAAGATGAAAAGATAATTTAAGCAGCTAGAGGTTCAGCCTAAACACTTTGTGATTCCAGCTTACCGTCTGTACGGTATTTTTTACGAAGTTTTGACTTTGAAAACTCAGGAAAAGTCGAAAAAAAAAAATGATATCAAAGTAGCAAAGTTCTTTACAACCAGACGTTAGGTTAGGTTAGGTTAAGGCGGCTGTCGGGATCGTCAGAAACCCGACACACCTAGGCCGGCTTCGGCCCGTTGTGATACCGCATAGGCCGCTCCCTCTTCCCTCGTCAGACACTATGTTATCCGTTGTCCCATCCGGATGCCCTTATGAAGCCTGCGATCCGTCTGGGACTGATTGTAAACATGTCCGAAATGTCAATTAGGAATGGAGCACCCAAGTATTGAAGTCTCCTTCTACTGAGAGCCGGACAGGAGCAGAACAGGTGTTCCACAGTCTCCTCCTCGTCCTCATCTCTACAGCTCCGACAGAGTCGTTGTAGGGGGCACCCAGCCTGTTAGCATGGCCAATGTCCCGTAAGGGAGCGTATGACTGAGCTGCACCTGCTCCTACTGAGTTTGCAGAGCTCATCAGTGCGCTTCCTAGTAATGTTAGGCCATGTTTGC